GGATTGTAAGTAGTAGACAAATATGAAAGAGAGAATTGTTGGTCAACTGCCGAAATATGCGCGTAGAAAATCGCGAGTTTACCGAAGTTCGAGAACAATGGCTAGCTGTAACCGCGATTTCCCTCGTCAGGGAAACGAGCTAACGAGCTGTCAAACGTCACCGAGTCGAGAGCCCCGGGCGTTGTTGAATCTCGATGGAGCGGCGACGGACGCATCTTCGATCGGCTACCTCGCGAACCAAGCCTTCCGGAGCAGGACGTGTCCCCGTCTTCCTGTGCGACGGAGATTGGCAATTACGTCCACCGAGATCGATTTGATATTGAAAACTGGAAACGTTTCAAATAGCAATCGGGGGGGAAATCTCGAGTACTACGGTGAACAAAACGTTTGGTCCCGATTGGGATTCTTCTTATTTATTTCATGAACGTTGTTGTAATTTGACGTTTACGTAAACACGACAATTTTCATTAATGAGTTATAATTATTGTTCACTTAATTATTCTCTGCTCTATTCGTCGTTTTCTTAACGAGAAGATAAATCGACTTAACGGTAGTGTGATACGCGACAATTGCAATCGAACATCAGACGCGTTGCCTTTACGATGTAAATGATTTATGAAAGCGAGGGGAAACAAGGGTCGTCGAAGAGAGCCATTCCATAAAATACGGATAACGGCGTGTCGAACAACGGTGAGAGGTACAGGAGGAGAAGAGAGCGGAAGGGATTCAGCGGGTGCCTTTCAATCCCATCTGTATGAGATGACTGGTTCGATGGTGGAAAAAAGTGTTTCGCGGGACCATTTAATCGCAAGGTCCAAGTGCCGCCTGCGAAAGCCCGAATCAACAATGCTCTGAAAAAAAGATGGGCAAACCTCACCGAAATTCGATCATCGCATCCGTTGATCTTGCAGGTGATCGACGAAGAATGAAGTTGCAGAAGCTACATCCGGCGGCTGCATCTCTCGGCGAGAGAGTCAAAGCAAATGAGAGAGAGAGAGAGAGAGAGAGAGAGAAGAAAATAACCGGTAGAAATTTGTAGTACGTGCAACGTGACGACCTAATTGGTATAATAATAAAAATGGCGCGTTTCGGCGTTGCTGTGAATTCTCGTTTATATGCAAATGCATCCCGGTCGCGACGCTTCAACGGTTATATCCGAACCTCCGCAAAAAGCCGATCCGCTTCTTCCGTTAGCGTTAAAATGATCTAAATGATCTAATCGAGTTTCGACTGAAAATCTATGCTCGTTGCGCGCTGGATCGTCGCCGCGTTATCCGCGTAATTATTTCAAAGGCTGTTTGAGAGAGAGGAGAGAAATTTATTCCAAATCGTTCGAAATCCAGCTCGCGACGACGTTTCCCCAGTTTGCGCATAAACAAAATAAAATTATGTATCGTGGAATTTTAACATTGAATATTTTATTACAGGATATTATACTGTAATAAAATCACATCAATTCTGTATACATAATGATGATTATTGGTGATACAAGCAGTGATACGAAAAATGTAAAATTTAAATATTCATTAAAATATTATATATAGGATATATTAACTCCTTAATTAACTGAAATCGTTGATATTTTTATAATTGGTTGACGCGAGACACGTCTCTTGATATTTTTACATAACAAAACATTATCATGCGTTACGTTATTTTAATTCCTTTTTCCCGAAATATTCTCTATATTTTTCTAGCTACTTAATTAACTTAATCGTTGATATTTTTCGATATAATAAAACGTTGCCCTCCCGCGTTAAATTATACCAATTTCTTTCTCTCAAAATAACTTTGTTATTTTATTCTTGTTTCGTTTCTTTGTCTCGAAATATCCTTAGATTCTGTATCTGACATTACTCATCGTATTCATATATTATTTTTCCTATTTAAAAGCACTTGAACGTTTCCAAGAATCGGACGTATTCCTCTCGAGATACTCCGTGCAGACGGAGCGATATAGCGCTTCCGAGAGATTTATGAGGGACGTCTTTTACACCCTTCCTCTTTCCTGTGCTTCAGAAAAGAAAACCAGTTCATCAGAATTCATTGCAATCGGTATAATCGAAATCTGTTTTTGTTCTTCCTCGATTGTGCCGCGATAATGGACAATGACATTGTTAGGGGATGCAA